AAGTGCAGCCAGAGAGCTCCTTGGAGGCCAGGATGGCCAAATCTTGTCTCTCATACATAGGATATATTGTCAGGAGGGACCAGTCGCTGGAGAAGGATATCATGTTTGGTAAGGTGGAGGGTCAGAGAAAATGAGGAAGTACCCTAGCAAGATGGATTGACAAAGTGGCAGCAGCAATGGGCTCTAGCATGGCAACAATTGTGAGGTTGGCCCAGGATTGGGCAATGTTTTATTCTGTTGTGCATAGGGTGACTATGAGTAGGTATCAACTTGATGGTACCTAACAACACAACAGCAACTGAAAAGAAAAAAAGAGAGTGAGTCAAGAGAAGACACATAGGCCTTTTACAAGAGAGAAAGCAAAAAGAATTATTATGTCCATAGTTTTGTTCAAGGTTTCACGGTAAAATTTTAAGAAAATTCTTACTTAATCTATTTTGTTTTCTTTTCCCAGATAATAGAAGTCAAGTGCAATGTTGAGAGGCAGATGGATAATGGAAGGAGAGTTTTAAATGAGTAAGGATATTTGAAAGAGCCTTTGTTGATAATGGGATAGAGAACTGACAAGAGAAATATGGACATGCTTATAAGCAGAAAAATAAAATCATTACTGGTTACATGTTTTTAATATTTTAATTGCTTGCCAATTTAACAATGTAGAGAAAAGTCATATAAATCTAATTATACCTAATTTGTAATATACACTAACATTTAAATATGATTTAAAATGCTTTAGTCAGAATAGTAGTGTATTTGGTATTTTCATTTTTGAAAGAAATTGATCATATTTCCAAACTTGTTTATACTTACCCATGCTGGCAATTATACTATGTACAGGTAATCTAGAAGGTCCATGATAAAATGACCTTGATACATTGTTTTTTCTCTGCTGGTCTTGGTTCTTAAAAGCAGAATTTTCTTCTTTGGTAATATTAATATAAAAGCATATGTCTGTAGCATTCATAATGTATCGAGGGCCTGGATTCAGCAAAATGTTTTTATTATCCTCTCTCCTAACACCAATCAAACAGACACCAAACCTTAATTTAAAAAAAGAAAGAAAAGAGTTTAGAATTTGAATTCAGCAAAAATCTTCATTTTTCTTTTCTTTTTAATTACATATTATGAAAAATAGCAAACCATTGTAAGAAGAAGAAAGATTAAAATCTCAAATCAGAACATTTTAGAGCTTGAAAATATCTAAAAATTTCAAGACTCATTTTTATAGGAAAAGAAATGATAGTCTTTTGATGGATGTTGGAATCAATGTAATTTTTTAATTATCAGCATTTTAAAAATATGAAAAAGAACAGAGACTATCAGATTGCATGATAGAGTAACAATAAAATTGTTTAAAATAAATTCTTGATACACCGGACTTTAATACACTGAGATTTTATATGTGTGTGTGTTTATAAATATGTGTGTGTGTGTGTGTGTGTGTGTGTGTGTATTCCTAGTGTGGTGCATGATGCTGTGAGTTAATGTGCCAGACTGCAAAGCCGTTTGAACTGCAAGGTTGGCAATTCAAGCCCAGTAGCCGCTCCTTGTAAACCCTATACAGGGTTGCTGTGGGTCAGGAAGAACTCAATGGTACTTAACAAATATGTATATGTATATATATGTATGTATATGACCCGACTCGATGGCACTTAACAACAACAACAACAATATGTATATATATGTGTATATACATATATGTATGATTATATACATATATGCATATTTATATACAGATTGAAATAAGAATATTGCCTAAAAGAGTATGCATATTAGAAATTTTTAATTAGCACCAATTATATTCAGAGGTGTTAATACTCCTAATGAAATTATACACTTATTAATGAGTATTTAAGTTTTCTTTTCCTTAAAATTAGAGTAAACCAAGAAGTTAGTACTTACAGACATATTGGTGCACTGAATAAGATTTAGGTATGTTTCTTTCTATCCTTGAGGTCAATGAATTTCAAATGTTTTTTTGATCAAAGTAAGAAATATAATTTATGAAATTTTAAGTTTTTTCAAATAGATAAATTGTACATACGAAGAGAATCATATCAAGATTAATGTGGCAATTTTGTACTGCTGACTAGATGTATTCTAAATATACAAAGAATATAATAAATTGATATATTTGTAATTATTAATATATTCTCATAACAGACACATTTTTTTTTTCAAGATAATATTACTCAATCTTATCAAAAGTTTAGAAAAGAAAGTCCCACGTCTAAAATGGAAGGCATTATCAATTATTTTTTAACAGTGGTGCAGTGGTTAAGCATTTGGCTGCTAACTATGAAATCAGAGGTTTGAACCTCTCAGTCACTCATTAGAGAAAAATGAGGCAATCTGCTTCCATAAGAGTTACAGACTTGGGAATACTATGGAGCAATTATACTCTTCTCTCTTCCTAGGGTTGTTAAAATCAGAATCAACTTGATGGCAATAGGTTGTTTTTAAGTTTTTATCATTTATTTTTTACTTTTTTCTCTAAGCAAAGGAAGTGCTATCATCAGAGTTTGTTTGAAAGTAATTTTTTGAAATATTATTGCTTGTGAAAACTTCTAATCCATATTCTAGCATTTGGAAATTTAATTTTCATATGCTTGTGATCTTTTAACTCATTAAATTATTTTAAAAACCTAATAGTCATGCCAATTTTCCCCAAATACTGACAATTCATGCTTCCAGAATGGGTTTCCTACATAAAAATTTGATTGATTTACATTATAACGTCACTCTGAAAGCAGACACATACTTTTTGTGTGCATGAAAAGAGGCATATGTAAAACTCTTTCCTTCATATTCAGCAAAAAATGTACTTTCTTCCAAAACAATGTGGTATACTTCATTCCCAGAGCATCTACCATACATCTTCTGCCATTGTTCTGGTGATTGCTGGCCTTCTCTGCAACGAACATACACACACATACACACACACACACAAAGATAAAAACACAGTGAATGTGAGTAAAAACGGTTATTATACATATAAAATCTAAAGTTTCCCAAATGTAAGAATTGGCCAAATGAGTGTAAAAAAGTATCTTCATGGAACTCCAGGTTAAAATACTTAGAGTTGCTAAAAAATGTTTGAATTCTATATATAAATGTTATTATATAAAATTTACATATATATTAGTTTTATATTTATTTTATATATAAAGCATACTATACTATATATGGAGTCCTGGTGTGGCGCTGTGGGGTAATACATCAGACTGCAAAGTCATTTGAACTGCAAGGCTGGTGGTTTAAGTTCACCAGCTGCTCCTTGGAAACCCTGTACAGGGTCACTGTGGGTTGGAACTGACTCGATGGCATTCAACAACAACAGATACTATATATAGTTGAGTCCTGGTGTGGCGCTGTAGGATAAGCATTGGATTGATAACCACAAGATCAGTGGTTTAAACCCATCAAATGCTTCTCACAAACCCTATGCAGAGTTTCTATGAGTCAAAACTGACTCAATTGCACTTAAGAAAAACAACCATAAATACTAAATATAAACTTGAGATATAGTAGAATACTAGAAAATTTTTTAAAGAAGGTGAGAGTGTTTCATGATTCCTTAATGAAAATATTTACTCTGACCATGAAACAATGAGCATGAAATTAATGATGTCTAGTGTATATTCCTCAAGGTCAGCAATTTGAAAGTACCAGTGGTTCCGTGGGAAAAAGATGAGGCGTTCTGCTCCCATAAAGATTTATAGCCTCGGAAAACCTATACAGGGTCAATATGAGTGAGACCCAACTCAACGGTACTTAACAACAACAACAACAGTCTATAGTCACGTATTTCCAATCATACACATCCTATGTGTTACATTTATTTCAAATTCTTCACTTACTTATGATACTTGCTTAACACCTGCCTTGGATATTGCAATGGATTTAAAATCATAAATGTATCAATTTCAATTTATTATTTTAAGTTCAAATAATCTATTCATCAACTTCAATTTGATTACAGAGAAGATACACTGTTGATGTTTGTCCTTATTGCAGCCAGGATTCTGGCTGCACATAGCCAAAAAGATTTTCTTCTTTGTGATACTAGGGTATCTAAAAGTGAGCTCCAGATTATTTTTAAATAGAAGATAATTGTACCCCAAAATTACTGCATATTTTGTTCTGGAGCAATCTGTCCTGTATCACCTAACTGAGTGGCCTTGAAAGAATTATAAAATTCAACCTATGAGAAATTTCTTGTGAATATGCAATGCTTCCTTACCCTATTTTGGTCTATAAATTTAGATAATTTCATTAAATAAAGCTTATGAATTTGCAAGTACAAGAAATGCATATCCTAGAGGCAAAATGGTATTTATATAAATTCAAACTATTTTTATTACTATCGCTATAGATTCACAACAAAAAGAAAGCAGATAACAATTTCCTTGTACAGTATTTAGGTATTAAAAGTCCAATTTTATTTCAAGGATTACTTGAGAGATGACACATTTTCATCATTTTCAAAGTGAAAAAAACTTTTTATAAAATCATACATTTTAAAGGAATATTTCAATTATACTTCCTTCTTTGAAATCATTATGCTCAAGGGCCCATAGCTTGCCCCTTCACTTTGATTTCATGATCTCAATATGCAATCTTGAATGAGTGATTTTATCTTCTGATGGTTCTTTACTTATGCTATAAAATGCATTATCAACTTCATTGCGTTGTTGTGAGAATAAAATGGCATACTGCAAAGAACATGCTTAGAGGATGACCTGAGCACTCAGCACATTTTCATTGTCATTACTATTTTGTTACTGTTATTAAGTCCTGGAGTCACTTTATACAATCTAATCAGTTTACTGGAGTCCTGAGTGCTACATAACTCCTTCAACTGCTAACTCAGAGAGTGGAAGTTTGAGTTTACTCAGCGGTGTCTGGGAAGGAAGGCTTGGCAATCTACTTCTGAAAATTAGCTATTGAAAACCCTATACAAAATGTACATACATATCATAATATCAGTTTTATACTTATTATATATATAAAACACACTATACTATAGATGGAGTCCTGGTGTGCTGTGGGTTAATATGCTGGACTGCAAGGTCATATTGAACCACAAAGTTAGTGGTTCAAGCTCACCAGCAGCTCATTGGATACCCTATACAGGGTCTCTATGAGTTGGTACCTACTCGATGGCACCAACAATACTATATAGAGAGGAGTCCTGGTGTGCTTATGTAGGATAAGCACAGTTCTACCCTGACACATACGGCGTCATGAGTCAGAACTTTCTTGATAGCAACTACTTTGTCACATTTCTAAACAAAGGCTTTAAGAGCCTTTCTTCCAAAACACTAGTATATTTTTGGGAACAGGAAAATAAGACAAAAGAAAACATTTTAGGCAACTGACATTGCAAGTGAACAAATAAAAAAATGATATCTTAAAAAGGGCTGGCTCTGGAAAAGAAAACTTTCCCTTTTTCAAATAAAAAACAAAACACATTATATATCTTGGCAAAGACAGAACCCAACTGCAGGGCTTTAAATGTAAGAGAAAACCAAAAACTCATACCCATTGCCACCAAGTAAGTTGCAACTCACAGTGATCCTGTAGAGGATTTCCGAGGCTATAAATCTTTACTGGGGCAGACTGCTATATGTTTCCCCTGAAGAGCAGCTGGTAAGTTTGAATTGCTGATCTTGTAGTTAGCAATCCAGTGCCTATCCTACAGAAAAGGTACCTATATTTCCTCAAGGTTTGTTTGAAATCCATCAGGAAGTATGGGGTCAAATAATTGTCCAACAAGCATACAAAAAATCCTTTTAAGAGAATCATAAATCCTAATGCCAAGTCTAAAATGGTAACACAAGGTGGCAATCTGGAATGGAATGAGAAGGGAGGAGGCCAGGCAACCGACACTTCATATGGATTTCCATAAATCACTTGTTTATTCTTATGGCATTTTATATTTCTGGTTTTCACCTCATGGACTGATCTTCTTATTTTCTTTAATGATCTCTTTAAAATCCTTCAATAGTTAACCAGGAATTTCTTAATTTAGCCAACTATATGGACCTGATTAGATTCTGGGGTTGTTCTAAAGGTGGATCTGTAGGGATGTGCTAATGGAAAAGAAATTTTAAAAGCAACAGCACTCTAAATACCCACATCCATCATTATTTGACCCTCAACTTAATCATCGCTTCGTTGAATTTATAATAGTGCTCTTCTCCTTTCAAAACACCATTATAATAAATTTTATTAATTAATCTCTAATGTCTTACTTCCTTGTGCAATAAGCTCCATGAGGAAAGGGATCATGTTCTGTTTACTGCTATATTCCTAAAACCTGACATGCTTTCTGACAGCATAAGTGCTTAATATTTTTTTTTAAATGAATGAAGAATAATCTAACACTGTTCTTCATGCTCAATTGCTACATATTCCACTTTTCTAATGACACAAATCCTTTATCCTTCATAAGAAACTATTTTTTTAAACCTAACCAATAACTTTCAAAATGATGAATTTGCCATTAAGAATTAAGAAAAAAAAAATCACTGTGTTTCATAATCATTAATGGATATGAAATGAATGTTATACCAATTGAATGTTAAAATTAGGTTAAGAAACAGCAGTGAAAACAAAGATATTCAGGTCAACAAGCCTAGAATAGCAAACTTAATGAAAGTTATGAAAAGGCATTTAATGAAGAATTAAGATGTGTTTACACAAATGAAATGAACATTTAAGGAAAATAATTGACCTGTGCATTTAGTTACCATAAACTCAAAACCTACCACTCATCTTTCCGTTTATTATACTATGGTTGCTTACATGTTGCTAAGGCTCTGAAAGGTAGGTGAACAGTATTTCAAACACAAGCTAGGCCACACTTGGTGAACAGGATTCAGATGTTTGCAGATTCAAACAGACTCGGAAGAATGGTCTGACAATCAATGTCCCCAAAACAACTAACGAAATTGCAATGAGTCACACAGAATAATGTCTGATGTGGTATTGGCAAATGAGCCCCCCTAGGTTGGAAGAAATCTAAGGTGCACTAAAAGCAATGGGAAATAAAAAAGCTCTGGGAATTGTTGGAATAAAAATTTAAATCTTTCAACAAACTGTTGCAGCACTGGAGGCACTCAGTCATCTATGCCAAGAAATTTAGAGGACACCTTGGCCAACTGATTGGCAAAGGTCCACATTTGTACCCATTCCAAAGAGAGCTGACCCAATGGAATGCAGGAATCATGGGACCATATCATTAATATCACAGGCAAGTAAAATTTTGAAAATGATAACTACAAAATGACTACAACCGTATATTGATAAGAATTGAAGTAAAATATGGAAAGTTTCTATGGGAAAAATCTTGACTGATGCAGAGGCATCAAAAGAAGATGGAAGGATTACACAGAATCACTTTACCAAAAATAATTGGTGGGTGTTCAACATTTGCAAGAGGTTGTTGTTGCTGTTAGATGTCCTTGAGTTGCCTTCAACTCATGGTGACCCTATGCACAACAGAACACAATCATCACAATCATTGTTACGCTTGAGCTGATTCCTCTGTCCTTTTGCCAATCGATCTCATTTGCTACCTACCTCTTTTTCAGTTAAAGCTGAACCTCTACTTTACCAAGATGTAGCATATGGGGAAAAAATAATAAGAAGCAGCATCTGATCAAGAACCAATGTTATTGAAAGGAGAAGCCCCAATTGCTCTGGAGTCACTGGTGAAAAACAAAGCTCCAGAAATTGAAGGGGTACCAATTAAAATGTTTCCATAAACTGATGCAGCACTTGAGGCACTTATTCATTTATGCTAAGAAATTTGGAAGATAACTACTTGGCCAAACAATTGGAAGATATCCATATTTGTAAGCATCCCAGACAAAGGAATACAGAAATCAGGGAACAACAGCATTA